GATTGGACTGTATAAATTTATCTCTGCATTAAAAGACAAAATGCCACTACTCCATCTTTTTGCAGCAGGTTCCTAGATGGTAAGACGTCTTCTGTCAGCTTTTGAGAGCAGAACATTTAAATATTCAAACATGCTAAGCTGAGCTAAGTATCCTGGTTTTAGTATATTTGTTAAATTTCCTAGTAAAAGAAATTCGATATGGCAATCCAGGTCTATGATCCTTGATCTAAGCTCTGGTCCAGCTTGTGTTTAAATTGCCATGACCCAACCCACGGGCTTCACAGTGACTTTTTGAAGTGAATTTAAACACAGTAAAAAATGACAATATAATAATATACCTGTCTATCTATCTATCTATCTATCTATCTATCTATCTATCTATCTATCTATCTATCTATCTATCTATCTATCTATCAAGTAAGATTTGAGCTGCTCTCTTGGCAGTTTTACAAGGCCGCTCCAGTCATATTTCTTACACAGGACATACCTGTGTTGTGGATTAAGGTCCGTAAAGCATATTAGGCTTTTTTATTGTAGTTTCAGATCACCTCCTGCTAAAGAAGCCTCTTTTATGACCGTTTTTAAGCCCTTTACTTTGGCCAGATCAGAACACGAGTAATGTGACCAAATGTTTGACTGTTTATAAAATTTGACAGGAGACAAAGTCTAAATAAACCTTTATGTCCTCTGATGACTGATAACAATGAAATTATGCACACTACTTTGCTATCTTGTTTAGTGAACCTTTAAAGAGGGAATAAACCGCTCAGTGATTTTTCCCCCAATTTTTTTAAATTCAAGAGTTAAAATACAACACCCCCCCCACACACACACAAACAAACCGAACAAAATTAAACAGGACAAAGCAAAAACAAAAATAAGTGCATTTAGAAAAAAAAGAAAATACACATATATTGTCCCTCCCCCCAGTTGAATACTGATAAATATAACATCAGTAGTTTTTCCCCTTGTGAAATAGGTCTACAATATACACGTTTTTACAACTTTATTCATAAAAAGAAGAAGAAAATGTAAAAAGTCTGCAACAACTTCAATTTCAACCTTAACCACTCCAGACATTGTTGCAGGTCCATCCAGGATCAAATATCCTTAACTGATTCTTAGTAATAAAATTTTCCTTAAAATTATAACTAAGGTCTTTCCATATAACCCAAGTCATAAATCTCTGTTTTAGGTATCACCACAGCGTTTGAAGTTGAAAAAGTACATAAGTATTCTTAAGTCCAAATCATCACTCCAATCAAGGAGAGAAGCAACCTAGAACTAAGGAGAAACTTCCTGACAGTTAGAACAATTAACCAGTGGAACAACCTGCCTCCAGAAGCGGTGAATGCTCCAACACTGGAAGTTTTTAAGAAGAGACTGGACAGCCATTTGTCTGAAATGGTGTAGGGTTTCCTGCCTGAGCAGGGGGTTGGACTCGATGACCTCCAAGGT